CAACGCCAAGCCGATCGGCAGTGGGCCGTGAGCATCCAACCATGCTCTCAGGGTGAAGCCGTCGAGAAACTCCATTACAATATAGGCGGATCCCACGTCGTCCAGGGTCAGGTCGAAAACCCGCACGATGTTGGGATGGTAGAGACGAATCGCGGCCTGGGCTTCCCGCTGCAGGCGAATTTGAGAATCTTTGTCGTTGGAAAGTCGGGCGTTCAGCGTCTTGATGACCCGGGTCTCGCCGAGCAAGCGATGGCGGACCTTGTAGACTGCCCCCATGCCGCCTTCATGAAGCTTTTCGAGAATTTCATATTTACCTTCAATGGTTTTTGACGGGGGTGTCACCCGGGCCTCCTCCCAGATATTCGGAGTGCTCGAATAAAGTGAAATATGCAGAATACCCGATAGCTCGGGAGCAGCAGACGGATAGATTGAACCGACTCATTTAAAACATACTGACTCTGTGTCGGACTGTCAACAACAACGCTTGGAGCTCGGTCGGTGGCCGGCCGAGCGGACTTGGGATGAGAGCCCAGCGCCGAAATGTCTCTGACTAAAGATTTTTTGGGAGATAACTACGAGGTCGTCCGCCGTCTCAGTGAAGGCGGAATGGGCATCGTTTACCTGGTTCGTCACCGGCATCTCGAAACCCATCGGGTCGTCAAAGTCATCCGAGAGCAATACGCTCACAATCCTGAGCTTCAGGAGAGGTTTTTAAGGGAAGCTCGGACGGCGATTCGGCTCAGGCACCCAAAGATTGCTCAGATTTTCGATTTCTCCATGACGGATGACGGTAGCGCTTTCATCGTCATGGAATATATCGAGGGCAGGACGTTGCAGCAGCTGCTGCGGGACGAGGGGCCGCCTCCTCTCGATCTGGCATTGGAGATCGGCCGCCAAGTCCTGGAAGCGCTCGACTATCTGCATGGGCAGGGGTACGTGCATCGAGATATTTCCCCCGACAATCTGATGCTGACGAAGGATTTCGAGGATCGGCGCCTCGTCAAGCTGATCGACCTGGGTATCGCCAAACGCACCGGACAGGAAGCCGGAACCCAGTTGACCGGTCACGGAATGTTTCTCGGTAAGGCGAAATACTCGGCGCCGGAGGCGATTGAAGGTAAAGAGGTCGGAGCGGCCAGCGATGTCTATTCCTTCGGGGCAGTGTTGTACGAGCTTTTGACCGGTCTTCCACCCTTTGATGGGCAGACGTTCTCTCAGTTGCTTGCCGCGCAGCTGTTCAAAGAGCCCAGACCGTTCTCCGAGTCCGATCCACAGGGACGCATTCCCGATATCCTACGCCGGTTTGTGCTGAAGACCC